GTTGGGAGCGATTTTTTATCGAACTTTTAAATATTCATCATCTTAAATGTTTTCAGAAAATACTCTCAGTAATCTAATGTTTTAGTGAATTTTAGAAATGCTGACTTTAAATTTACCATAGTCATCGCTCTTATTTACTTATAATGTAGTGTATGGTCGCCTGCACTTACAAAAAATGGTACGTTTATACACATACAAAAAACTCAAAATTATTTTTAAAATATTCGTTTTTAATGATTTGTATTAAGCTTTTCCATTTATTATTAGTAAATACATTTTTTGCTTAATAATATAATCACCTAAATGGTTGAAATTAATCCAGAATTTTAAACGATTTAAAACTTAACAAATATTTCTAATTACAATTTTAAAAAATGAAAACAATTCTTGTAAAAATTCATTATTCATCGAAAAATAATTTTCTTAAGACAGTAGTGTCTTTAATATATCTTATTTATAAAAGCAATTGAAAGCTTTTCTGATTAAATAATGTCATAGTTTTATTGCATTTTTTATTCTATGATTCCGAGCAGACTAGCAGTAGAGCCCGGCGTTGTCCAGTAAGAGATAGATCAAGTATCGACCATCATAAAGACTGAAAAATAAAATTGACAAAGATTATTGTTTAAGGTTGACGGGCATGCATGTCTTAATTAGTTTATTTTTTGTTTTTCTTTTTGTTTTGTTTTTTTACGAATTGGTCAAACCCAAACTCAAACAAAAACATTGTTTTCAATCGTTATGAGTCTACCGGTTGAATAGAATTTTATTATAAACAATTGACTTGTAAATGGAATTTTTAAAGCATTCTGAATGTAAAAATAAAGAAAAAAGTGTGCAAGACAATAAGAAACACTACCTGCCAAAAAAAAGTGAAGTTTTGTTGAAATCGGTTGAAAAATGTAGGAAATCCGATCCAATATATAAACGAAACAGACACACACACACAACCTGGGTTTTATAATAAGTATGATTTTTGGTAAATTTAACAAAAACAAGACGATTTAAATTCTCCAAGGAGTCCTGAATTTGACTAATATAAAAATGAAGAGGCTGAAATTTTAATTTCTCGAAATTTCCTAAAATTAAGTAAGTGTTGGTAACAAATGTAAAATAAATATATTTCTACCAAGATTTTCTAAAGAAAAGAAAATTTCAAAAATAATTACATTAATTTATGAATGAATTCTGAAAATTTCATTAAAATCCGAAGCTTAGGATAGATAGATAGATAGATAGATAGATAGATAGATAGAAAGAAAAAGTGAGAGATGGATACTTACATGCATGTCAAAATACCAATATAGATTTGAAATGGTTTAGATAGATATCAGTAGATGTGGGTGATTAAGGGCCGGCTCCTCACCCCACGAATCACTTGTAATGGCTTCCATCTCGTTTCTGCGTCACTGGACCCTAAGTTGACTCTTGAGGCCAGCATTCCATTTCATAGGTACCTTATAATGCATAAATGATCAGCAAACTATTTTATCCTTGATTGGATCTGCATGGCCTATAACTCACCTGTGTACCAAAATGCGACTTCTCAGTGCAGATAATAATCTGCAAATGTTGTTGCAAACAACAAAGGCATTGTCGGCAGAACGATAAGGCAGGTTGGTATATTTGGTCTGCTTTTAATTGTTACGTTCACCTTTCTCATAGTTTACATAACCTGCCATCGACAATAGAATGCGCTCACACGCACACGTCACTTTTCCAAGCCTGCATGTTAGTTGACAAATCATAGACAATGTCTCTGTGGAGTTCTCGCTTGATCAGAGCCTATCCGAGACATTCATCCTCAAAGGGGCTGCATCCTCCATTCATGTACAATTTAAATACAGATTATCCTTCAAATCACCTGGAAAACTCTTCTTAAGCTTCTGCTGTGATAGTTAACAGAAGCGAAACAAATTATTTATCTTCGCAAAAACCTTTGTGTATTAAAGACGTCTTATTTGTAATTTTTACTATGCTTCTTACACACTTGATATTCTCAATCTCTTATTCATTCATTTTTACGATAAACCTTTCAGTGGGTGGAATGGATAGGGGCTCGGGTGGGGAATCGGAAGAGCCGAGTTCGACTTCCAGTTGAATCCATTACATTCACTTATGTGCTAATACCCTTGGGAAAGGTATGAATCCTGTTCTTCTCCTCACCTTCAGCTATGGGTAAATATCAGGACAGACCGGGTTCTGTAGCCTTGGATAGAAATTAGTCTGCTGCAGAAAGACATGGCAACCTACTGCGGGGAAAAATTGCCTCGTCAGATCATGTATCTTTCGATACATGATCGCCTAAGCGTGTATCACATAACTGACTGAGTGTAAGTAAAGAAGGTCTCTGTTACCATGTACCACTCCCACGCCTGTTTTTAAGCACAGACATGGAGAAAGTGGAAGAATTGAATGAAAGAAGGTTTAGGGGTTAAAGCTGAGTTAGATGTTTCTTCCTTTTGAAGTAGATGAAGCATGTTACAGATGCTTTTTAATGAAGGGTTCACCCGTGGCTTTATTCTTGGACCTACGTTGTTTTATCTTCATCAATGACATAATGTCATCAGTTTCCAGGTCTGTATTCATCCTGAGGACAAAATTGTTTACATCTATCTTAGGAGCAATTCCGATCGACCCGACAAAGTAAAACTGACAAGTACTCTCGAAAAGTATCTCCAATCAGTGGTTAATTGGGGCAAGGAACGGCTTGTAAATTTTAAAGCCTCAAAAATCTTCTTTCATTTAATCACCTGAGGGGACCTTTTCTGTCTGCATGGCTGACGCTAACCACCAGGAGAGCAGCTCTTTGCATCGTCCCGGTTTCACGTTTTCCACTGGCATGAAGTAGAGGGGTTATTTTGACACAATTTCTAGGTCTACTGCTAAGGAAATTGGTTCACTGTGTCGTTCCAGGTAATTTTTCTCGTCGTAAGCAATCTTGCACATCTATAAATCTACCGTTCGTGCATTGAATATTGCTACCACGTCTGGTGTTGGCCTGGTTCTCCTAATATATATCTCGAAATTCTTTACAAAATTCAAAGAAGGGTCTGTTATGTAATCGATCCTCACCAGGCATCTCGACATCAGTCACTTCCTCACCGACGTTACGTGACTTCCCTCTGTCTTTTCTGCAAATATTTTCACAGCAACTGTTCTGATTACCTTTTCTCAATGCTGCTTCGACTGCATCATATCAAATTGGCAACTATATCTCGTCGTTTTATTGTAGGTTAGGTGTACCGCAAGTTCTATTCTAATAGTTTCTTTTATCGTACTTCTCGCCCTTGGAAATCCCTTCCAATTCCATACTTCCCTGACATACAGTCTTCAAAAAATTAAATGCAACATCAATCGGCATATTCTGTCTTTCTGTATAAGCTTTTCTTTTATTGTCCTTTCTCTATGATTCTCACTAAAGTCTTCTCATTCTCTTCCACTCGCACTGGCCACTTGATTCTTTGTGGCATTATCGCCTTGCTTGGAGTGAAATGATTAAAACAATAAATAAAGAAAGAATGCGATTGGTGAATTTGCCAAACAGAAACGAAGAATTAAATTAATTCCCAAATAAATTCGTATTTTCTCAGATTTATTTCGTAACAATGCACACCATTATCCGGTTTCAAATTTACCTTTCATTCAAGATAGATAGATATAGATACATACATGGGAAAATATTACTATAAATAGAATTGAAAATACTAATATGAAAATTAGCAGATCTTTTTATATATATATATATATATATATATATATACATTTATGTGAAAATAATATAGATTTGAACATACTAATATATATATGAACATATATTGATATATATATATATATATATATATATATATATACAATCATATGAAAATATTAATATGGATTTAAAATACTAATATGATATGACATATCTTGATATATATATATACATATATATACATACATTTATGTGAAAATACTAATATACATGGATTTGAAAATGCTACTATGATAGGAACAGATCTTTATATATATATATATATATATATATATATATATATATATATATATATACAATCATATGAAAATATTAATATGGATTTAAAAATACTAATATGATATGAACATATCTTGATATATATATACATATATATACATACATTTATGTGAAAATACTAATATACATGGATTTGAAAATGCTACTATGATAGAACAGATCTTTATATATATATATATATATATATATATATATATATATATATATATATATATACATACATTTATGTGAAAATATTAATATAGATTTGAAAATACTAATATGATATGAACAGATCTTGATATATATATATATATATATATATATATATATATATATATATATATATACATGTATGTGGAATATTTATATAGATAGATTTGAACATGCTAATATGGATATGAACAGATCTAGATATATACATACATTTATTTGAAAATATTACTATAGATAGGTACCAGATAATTTAATAATGTAAAACTAATGAGCAATTGTTAGGATCTGCGAAAAATTTAGAAATTGCTTGTTTTCTAAACTTGTACATAAAATCATTTCTATCATGCTTTGGGCTGTATGTGAATTTAACCGGCAAGAAGCAAACTAATATTTTGTCTTCATAACATATGTTGGTTCTCAGTTTTCCAGAGTTCAATATTTCTATTTCCAGTTCTACACAGTTGGCTTAACAAATAAAGCCATGTCTCACCCCTTTACTTTATTTTTAAAAGCCTTTACTTCAACTTTATTTTCCATATCAATCTAATATTAATCGGTGATCGAGGTATTACGAACTCTTTTCTTGGCAGCTACGTATGACAACTATTGAGTTGAAATGTCTTTCCCTGGGGGCAAAAAATGACAACCAATCGAATTCTTGCACACTTGAACTCTTATTTCCGGTTTTATAAATCGTTGTCCGCCATTTTCAAAGAACAAAGATGGAGGTGTCAGCCATTTTGTTTATATTCTTTTGATTTTTTTTTTCAAAATGTCTTTGCTTCTTCTTTCTTTTCATTTATTGATTTCTTTTTCATCGTCTTATTTAGTTTCTTTTAGACATTTTATTTATTTTCTTTTGAAAAATTTCTTTCATTCATGTTTCTCTTATTCTTAATTTCCTTCGCCATAAGTAGATTTTTTTTATTTTTTTTTATTTTTTTATGTTTAATTTTTCTAAGGTTACTTCTTAATTTTCTTCTCTCCCTTATTTTCTCTTTTCAATAAACTTCCAATCTCCTTTCTTTCTAAATCTTTCTTTTTTCTTTTTTTACACGACTTTTTACCCCATCTTTCTTTTTTGTTATGTTATATCAAATAATTCCATGTCTCTCTTTTTTCTTCATTCATCCACAAATTCGCTTTTTATATACCAACTATTGTCTTCTTAGTTTCAATCTTTTTCGTTCTCCTAATAGATCCGTTTATGCGGATCCATCTTTCCTGGCATTTTTGTTTAAATTCTTTACCTACTTCTTAACTTCCCAGTTATTCTATTCTCTTATCTTTTCCTTGCTTGTTTTTTCTCTCCCTATTTTTCATCTGTTTCATGAATTATCTCCCTTTATTTTCTTCGCCTCACGTCAGCACTCTTTCGCGCAATCTACTTCCAGTGCTATTCTTATAAATTATACTATACTTACCAAGACGTTTTCTTTAACTATTTCTTACCTATCTACATTTCTCACTCTTGATGATTTTTTTTCTTTTTCATTTCCACTTTTTGTCATTAATTTCTTTTTTCTATCTTGTTCACCTCATCGTTTGGTATTATTATTATTATTATTATTTCCTCTTTTTCTTTATCTTTTTTCTCATTTTCTTTTTGAACATCATCACAATCAGTTTTTTTTCTTTCTGCTTCTTTTATTCGTTCAATGCAAAGTTATATTCGTAATAACGATTGAAGTAAATTTTCAATTTATTCAGCGAAGGAGAAAGGCAGGTAAAAAAAAAATACAGAAATAACTATTCTCTAATTGCAGCCTGAAAGCGCTACAACACGAGAAAATTATGTAGAAACGAAGCAGGTAAAATATTTCGATTCAAATTTTTCCATTTAACCTTATTTTGAAGAGGCTTTTATCACGGGATGAGGTTGTCAGATGTTTTACGTTCTTTGCTCTTTTCCTTGATTTTTATGATAGAAAGAGTCCCGGTAATTTTCATTTTTTTTCTTCTCCCTTTGTCTATTTTGCTCCTTCATTCCTGTCTTTTTTTATAGCACTTCTTTTTTATACTTTCTATTTCAAATCTTACCTATCTATTTATTCCTAACAAATATTTCATATTTTTCCTCTTCCTTCCTCTATTTCGTTCGTTCATTCACCCATTTTTTTTTTTCAGACCGCTGCTGGTTTATATTTTATATTTCAAAATCCTACCTATCTATTCATTCCTGGCGTATATTTCATATTTTTCGTCTTCCTTTCTCTTTTTCGTTCATTCATTCCGGCTTTTTTATACCTCTGCTTTTCTTTTTCTTTCAAAGCCTAGCTGTTCATTTTCAACATCTATTTCATTTTTTTTCCTTTTTGTTCATGTTTCTTTTTCTCTTTCCCTCGCCATCTGTTTCGCCATCAACTTCTTTCATTTTTCTTTTTTCTCCTTCTTTATGTATTCTTATGCTTATGTCAGATCTTTTTTTATGCATTCATTCCTTCCTTATTTTGCGTGATTTTTTTTCAATCATTTTATTCTAAACTAGCAGCATGGCCCGGCGTTGCCCGTGCTTGATTCAAAAATCGTACGACTCATACAGCAATCGCTATCACTTGACTTAAAATATTTTTGCCTTTCCTTGACTTTAAAGGAGTGCCCTTTGCCGTGCTGATGTTGCTACATGCCTTACTTCTTGCCTATCTCACACTGCGATTTTTTTATAAGCTGTATACTCAACATTAAATATGTTACGAAAAAAGAACTAAACAAAATGAACACAAAACGATCAGCTTTAAAAAAGCACACGTAACTGGAAAAACCGAATGAAAAAAGAATGTTAACAAAAAATACTTTTTCACACCCAACCCAGTTCTGCGGAATCAGAATCAACGTTGAGTTTAAGCAAGCGAATGAGCCAATTGGAGTAAAGTGCCATGCAGATTTAAATTTTTCCCACTTGGTACGAATCGATTTTTTTTTTTGCATGCTAGCATGCTAGTTAACATTCGTGTCAGTCAGCTGTTGGCTCTCATGCTAGCCAATAGAATCTTCCTGCCTATTCGTGGCAGCCAGCTATAGGGTCTCACTCTGGCCAGTACAAAATGGCCGCAAACTACATGAAAACTGCCGTAGAAGCATGAAATAATCGATTATTTCCACTATCGATGGGAGTTGGGAAATGCAAAGTCGGTCTTGGCCTTCCCGCTAACTTGGAGCATGTGCATGTAAATTTTGGTGCAAATCCGTCGAAAATTGCGGCCGTGCATTCATCACACACACACACACACACACACACACACACACACACACATCCTGCCTTTTATAGGTAGAGATAATAATACTTTACTTATTTTAAAGTGATAATCTCATAATTCCTCCATTTTTATCAATATCGTTTAACTACATTCAGATTACGGCCATCTAACGTCGAAAAACTGGTTCCCATACGATCACGTCAGGTCAGTATCTAGATGGGTGACTGCTTGGGATTTCAGGTGTTGTATGCTTAGATGTGCGAGGGTTGTAATGAATAACAGCTCCGAGTTGGAATTCCGAGAGCTAAGTTCGAATTCCAGTCAGGTTCGTATATTCAATTACGCGGAAATATCCTTGCGGTCGGTGGGTATGAATCTACCTCTTCTCCTAATGTATTAATTAGTAGGATTTGTATCAGTAAATCATTATTATCTGAAAAAAAAAAATAAGTCTAAAAAATATTTTTCTGGCTTTAAATAACCTGCAAAAGGTTGATAAACCGTAAAAATAAATTACTCACTAACTCTACTAAATTATTCTTCATTTTTCTATTCAATTCAAAATTTTGGTTGGCTGGGTTTTCTATCTAAATTTCTCTTTCCATTCTGCGTTCAACATTTCGGACCTTTTTTATTTACGTTTGAAATACAAGGTGACCCACAAAAAAAACAAAAAAAAACAGGAACTTTCAGATTTACTATATGCTGAGTAATGGATAGCGGCTCGGAGAGCCGAGTTCGAATTCCAGTCGAATCCATTACATTCACTCATGTGTTAATACCCTTGGAAAAGGTATGAATCCACCTCTTCTCCCCCATCTATTGGTAAATAGCAGAACAGACCGGGTTCTATAGCCTTGGATGGCAGCTGGTCTACCTCAGAAAGAAATGGCAACCTAATTCAGGAAAAAATCAGTCAGTCTTGTATCGAAAGGTACATGATCGCCTAAGCGTGTATCACGCATGGCACTGATATGCTGATAAAAATTAACTGACATATATAAAAGAATTAACTATATCTTTTACTATATGAATGAACTAAGAAAATTAACAACATATGAATTTTTAAACCATTCGTTGTTCTAAGATGCCGCAGTTATCAAATATTCAACGCGAGGTGAGTGTTCTCTTTAAGGAAAATACCCGACTTAGGAACTGAAAAAAACTCCAAGAAATTTTGCCAGAGTTCTTTAGTTCGATAACTAAAAATCAGTTTGTCGATGTTGCAGCTGTACTTTGCTTTTGTTTCAAATAACTGTAACAAGAATTTCAACAATTAAATAAATTCTACCAAATTTCCTGTTTTTTTTTGGGGGGGGGGGTTTGTGGGGTACCCTATATTATAAATCTCCACCTTTTCCAACTTCTGTCTAATTTCTTTCTTCGTTTTATTTTCTTCCTATTTTTTTTTTTAATTTTCAATTAATTATTTGTAAATTTGTTTAATAATGTATTTTCCACTTTTCTCAATTTCACTCTTCATTTCTTTGCATTTTCTTTAAAATCTCAATCAATCCATTTAATTCTCTTTCATCGCGACTTTGAAATTTTCATTTTTACAGTTTCCTTCCTTACGGCGTTTCACTTGCCTTTCTCTTGCTTCGTTCCTAATTGTTTATCAAACTCATATCGATCACAGTTTTCTTTCTTTCTTTTTTTTTTTCTTTCTCTAATATTTTTTCCTCTGTTTCAGTTTCATGTTTTCTTTTCTTCTTTCCTTTATTGGATATATTTCTTCATCTTGGCATCGTTTTTCTTTATTTTCTTCATCTTCTCACAACAAATTTATTCTTTTTATATCTGCTTTTTTTTTCTTTCTTCATTTATTCCTCTATCTTTCTTCTATTTCAGCTTCATTTGTTTGCCTTCCTCTTCTCTTATTTTCTAAGACAAATTTCTTCTCCAGTATAGTTTTCTTTTCCTTTTCTATCTTTTCTTTCTTTTCTATAGTTTTCCTTTCTTTTCGTCTTCTTCAACAAATTGAATTAATTTTTTTTTGTTGTTGTTTTTTATTTTGCCTTCATTTGTTAATTTTATCTCTTTTTTTTCTCTCTCCTCTTTCTTCATAATTCTCTCTGTATTTCAGTTTCGTGTGTCATTACGATTCGGTATTTTAGTTAGTTGTATTTCTGAATTAAATTATGCGTATCGCTCGAGGGCCACAAGCCGTGCCCATCAGGTTTAGTGAAATATCATATCAGCACTTTTTCAACCTCCCTCCAACACAAAGGTTCACAATCAGAGAAGGAGGTCCCCAGATTAATGTTCCCACGCCACTCATCTCCATCCAAGTCAATGTTACAATCACCTCAACCATCAATGTTGCATTTGTTTTTCATTGTTTTCATGACAGCTTCTTGTAAATTTGCTGTCGTATTTTGAAACCAAACCCCCTAACATTTGCAGCCTTGATTATTGCCTATTTTTCCTTCTTTCATTTGCTTCTTTTGCTCACTTGGAAGGTTCTTTCTTTCTTTTTTTTTTCGTTCTTTCTTTACTTTCGTTCTTTCTTTCTTTACTTCCTTTCTTTCTTTTCTTTCTTTAATTTCGTTCTTTCTTTCTTTCTTTACTTTCTTTTTTTTCGTTCTTTCTTTAATTTCGTTCTTTCTTTCTTTACTTCCTTTCTTTCTTTTCTTTCTTTAATTTCGTTCTTTCTTTCTTTCTTTACTTTCTTTTTTTCGTTCTTTCTTTACTTTCGTTCTTTCTTTCTTTACTTCCTTTCTTTCTTTCCTTTCTTTAATTTCGTTCTTTCTTTCTTTCTTTACTTTCTTTTTTTCGTTCTTTCTTTAATTTCGTTCTTTCTTTCTTTACTTCCTTTCTTTCTTTTCTTTCTTTAATTTCGTTCTTTCTTTCTTTCTTTACTTTCTTTTTTTCGTTCTTTCTTTAATTTCGTTCTTTCTTTCTTTACTTTCATTCTTTCTTTTCTTTGTTTAATTTCTTTCTTTTCTTTATTTAATTTCGTTTGTTCTTTAATTTCTTTCTTTAATTTCGTTCTTTCTTTCTTTTCTTTTTTTTCGTTCTTTCTTTACTTTCGTTCTTTTCTTTCTTTAATTTCGTTCTTTCTTTCTTTACTTTCTTTCTTTCTTTTCTTTCTTTATTTTCTTTTTTTCGTTCTTTCTTTACTTTCGTTCTTTTCTTTCTTTAATTTCGTTCTTTCTTTCTTTCTCTACTTTCTTTCTTTGTTTACTTTCTTTCTTTAATTTCGTTCTTTCTTTCTTTCTTTCTCTACTTTCTTTCTTTGTTTACTTTCTTTCTTTAATTTCGTTCGTTCTTTCTTTCTCTACTTTCTTTCTTTGTTTACTTTCTTTCTTTAATTTCGTTCTTTCTTTCTTTCTTTCTTTCTCTACTTTCTTTCTTTGTTTACTTTCTTTCTTTAATTTCGTTCTTCTTTCTTTCTTTACTTTCTTTCTTTTTTCTTTCTTTCTTTTCGTTCCTTCTTTAATTTCGTTCCTTATTTCTTTTGTTTCATTCATTCTTTCTTTTCTTTCTTTACTTTTCTTCTTTTCGTTCTTTCTTTAATTTCGTTCTTTATTTATTTTCCTTATATATTTCTTTCTTTCGTATTTATTTTTTTCTTTAGTTATATTCTTTATTTTCTTTGTTATCCTTATTTTTCTTTCTTTCTTTTTTCTTCATTAATTTCTTTATTTTCTTTATTTATGTATTTATTGTCTCTCTTTCTACCTTGATTTTCTTTCTTTTTGCTTTTATTTTCTTTATTTCTTTCCACGCTTACTTTCTTTATTTCTACCTTTTCTTTCTTTCTTTCTTTCTTTCTACTTTTACTTTCTTTCCTTTTCCTACCTTTACTTTCTTTCCTTTTTCTATCTTTACTTTCTTTCTTTGTACCTTTACTTTTCTTTTTTCTGCCTTTCTTTATGTATACTCTTATTATTTTCTTTATTTATTTTGTTTCATTATTTCTCTCTTTTCTTTATTTTCTCTTCTTAATTTCTTTCTTTCTTTCTACCTTTACTTTTTTTATACATTTAATTTCTTTCTTTCTACCTTTACTTTCTTTATTTTCTTCTTTCTTTCTTTTTTTTTCATTCTTCATTTCCTTCTTTATTTCTTTCTACCTTTACATTCTTTTTTCTTTCTTTCTTTATTTCTACCTTTACTTTCTTTCTACCATTAATTTCTCTCAATCTTTCTTATTTATTTTCTGTCTTTCTTTCTACCTTATTTTGTTTTAACATCCAGATTCCAGCTTCTTCATTAATCGCTTTCTTTCTTTCTCATGCTCCCTCTTTCTTCATTCTTCTATTTATTTACTTTCTTTCTTACTTAAATTTAACGTTTCTTTCTTTCTTTATTTCTTCAATTATCTATTTTCTTCTTCATATTTCTTTGATTCTATCTTTGTTTCTTTGTTCTTTCTTTATGTTAACGACTTATTATTCTTTTAATTCCCGTCTCTCTCTCTCTCTCTTCCATTATTTATCTATTTTCTCTCTTTCTTATTTTCTCTTTTTCTTTTGCATATTCTTTTCCTTTTTTTTCTTTTTCTAATATTTACTACCTTCTTTCCTCTTTCACCTATCCTCATTATTTTCACTGTCTTCTTTCTTCTTCTAATCTTCCTTTACTTCTTTCTTTTTTCCTTCTCTTAAGTCTTTTCCATCTTTTTTATTTTTCTAATCTTCACCTATTTCTTTACTCTTTTTCCTTCTCATCATTAATTTCATTATTTTTCTTTCTCTATTTTTCAGTTCCTCATTTCCTTTTTTTTCTTTTCCCTATTCTTTTCATAATCTGATTATAATTTTCACTTCTTTCTTTCGGCTTTTTCTTTCTTTCGATTCCTTTCTCATCTCTATTTTTATTATTCCTTCCTATTTTCCTTCTCCCCATTAATATCATCTTCTTTTCTTTCTACTTCATGTTTTCCTTTCCGCTTTTCCTTCTTCCTATACTTTTTTTCATTGTCTTCTTTTCTTTTGATAATCTTCTTATTTTTCTTTTTCTGAATTTTTCTTTCATAGATTATTTTCATTTTCTTTTTCTATTCTTCACAGTCTTTCCTCTTTTTATCCTTTCCCCCTATTCTTTTCATCGTCTCCTTTTCTTTCTCTATACTTCACTTCTTTTTTCTACCCTTTCTTCTCCAAATTCTTTTCATTCTTTACTTTCTTTCGCCTGATTTTCACATTCTTTCCTCCTTTTCGTTTTTCCAATTCTTTTTGTTCTTCTTTGCGAGCTTACTCTCTTTCCATTTCTTATTTTTACCTACCCTTTTTTCTCTTTCTTTTATTTTAATTTTCCATTCCATTTACACTTATTTACATCGACCGGCACATCTTTCATTATAATCACTGTCTCTCTTTTTTTTTATTTTGTATTTTATCTTTCTTTTGCGTCTTTCTTTTACGTTTCGACTTTTTGTTCCGGATGCGCGTATTCAGTGTTCTTTTATCCGTAATATATATATATATATATATATATATATATATATATATATATATATATATATATATATGTGTTTGTTTTCTTTTTTGATTCAAATTTTAATCTTGATTTGATTCCTTTTCGTGGATTCTTTTTTAAGGGTCGAAAATTGACATCTGAATAATTTTAATCTTATGTTGAAATTTTTCATTCAAATTTTAATTCTCCATATACTTTAAATTTATAGTGTTCTTTTCTACATTCATTTTCATTTTCTTTTTTTTCTTAAAGATAGGATCATTATTTGTTTGTGTTTGAAAAAAGACTCAAATGTGACATCTGGGTAAAAAAAAAAGTCGTATATTAATTCAAACGTTAGTTTAAGAGAAACTGCATGAAAAAAGCGAAATCCAAAACTAAGTAAATCAACGTACAAAAACAGCGAAAACTGAAAGGAAACGAAACGAAGTAGCTCTCATTAGCAACAAAGTGATTTGCATGAAACCCCACTTCAGTTTTGACATCACGTGACACATCCTTACGTCGAACGTTGAACGCCGTATTGTCGTTACATTCCGGAAATAAAAGGTTCCAAGTTCGGATGTCACTTTTATGTCATTATTTCATTGAAATTGAAATAGTAAATAGATTTTTCGAAAAGCGCGCGAAATTGAATGAAAAGCGCACTTTGAACGAGAAGGTAAATTAACGCCCTGTTAAAGAAACGATCAATGAAGGAAAGAAGAGCATCGCAATTACACACACACACACACACACACACACACACACACACACATTGTTTGTGTGTGTGTGCGCTCATTTATCAGTACGTGTATCGTTTAGGTGTTGCAGATTAGTAAGTATATTAATTTACAGAATGCACTGCTTTAAGGGCTATTGTATTTTACGAACAACAATGATAATGTCCACTACCTTTCAAATTCAACCTTTAAAGTCTTCGCTTTTACATTAGGTCAGAAACCGTCTACAACGATCTCAGTGATCAGGCAGGTACTGAGATAGATAGATAGATAGATAGATAGATAGATAGATAGATAGATAGCAATTGCTGAATCAGATATATAGACAGAAAGATAAATAGATAATTTAGAATAGATAGATTTTTAGATATCAATTGGTGAGATAGATAGATAGATAGATAGATAGATAGATAGCAATTGGTGAATCAGATATGTAGACGGAAAGATAAATAGATAATTTAGAATAAATAGATTTTTAGATATCAATTGGTGAGATAGATAGATAGATAGATAGATAGATAGAT